CTAATTCAGTGAGATGCCATCTATCCATTTTCACCATGGCTTATCCAACTAGGACCATTATGGGGTGTCGAGAAAGGTGGGATCGCAAGACAGTGAAGTGCTGTGGTTTACCTTTCATTACATCTGAGAAAGGACTTATCAACTAGCCTTTTAGGTACAAAATGACTAAAGAGTGCGATCACAGAGTTTATCTATGTGCTTTTGCAAAATGTAAATAGTCTATATTCTTGATCAAATATATAAAAATGTAAGTCTGATTAATGTGATTAATGAGAAATGCAGTTTGAGTAGTGAAATGTTTCTAACACCTGACTTTCTGGCCTTTTACTGTTTTTTTCTGTGTGTGTGTTTCTGGGCTGGGATTGTTTGAACCAGTGGGGAATCCAAACATGGCACACAGCCCAGATCTTGTCTGAGGCTATTAGTGTTCGGTCAAAATGACTTAGGAAACATTCAGAGAATGTCTGATTTTGACACGTATAATTGAATAAAATAAGCTAGAGGTAGAGGAAAAAAACAAAAACTAAGGCAAAGACAAACAGAGGCAAAGAATAAATGATAACCTAAAATGGGAACAGTTAGAACTAGACATGAACATGAACATAAATCTGAACAGGAGCATGCAAAAACAAAGACGTGAGGAAACCATAACAGGAGCATGAAAAACCTGAGACCTGAAGTGACATAAAATCTATAGCCATGAGACGAGATAAACAAATGACCCAACACTGAACAAAAGGAAACAGAGGACCTAAATACACAAAAAGGTAATGAGGAAAGTGGAACACCTGGGGAACACAGTTGACACAAATGAACATGACGGCACAGGGGAAGCAAAACTAAATACACTGAACATGGAAACATGAGACTGCTTAAAATAAACCAAGAAACATAATGAGATGAAGACTGTGACAACATGAGCTTGACAATAGGACATGAAAAAAAACACAGACATGAAACTCACGACAGACTGGGGAGATGGAAAGGAATGGAACATAAGGAGGATGAGGCATGGGCATAACTAAAAGTCAGGACAAAACAGACTTACATGGGAAACTGGAAATTACAACTATACAAGGAAGCATGGTGATAACATTAACTAGACTAAAGCCTCACTAAGACATACAGCTACAGCTAATGCTATTGTGATTAATAAACACAGAGGTTTGAAGAGAAAAAGTGAGGAAAAGTACTCTTTTAAATTAGTTAAAAAGGTATCATGTTATAAATGGATGTTCCTGTCAGATTGAGACAATTGAAGTAAAATGTTATAAAATGAATGAAACATCAAGGGAAATGAATTCATATATGACTGAACATTCATATGTGATGGAATTACTAATAAGTTGTATTAAAGTACAAAAGGCAGGGTAGACATCCTGAGGATAGAGGCAGTTAGAACTGGGTGAGTCCCCTCACCCATCGTCCTCATCCAAGCTCTGCACTACTGGGTAATACTCATATTATCAAAGACTGGACTTTTTCAACAAAGAGCCGATCCAGACTTCCTGTATTCATTGCTGGTTCCACAGATTGACAGATGTAGCCTTTCTGTGGGCTATGTGAGGTCTTTTTTCACCATACTGTTGATGAATCAGACACTAGAAGTATTTTCTACTTCTCTTAATAAGACTATCAAGCTATCAGGTAGCTGTGAAGACCTTACATTGGATTTAGGGTTCCTGGTGCCTGTTCTCTGTATGTCCTAGAAAATATGCACAATAAACTGGATGAACCAGGATCAGTTTATCCTGGTAATGCTGATTTATTTATTTTCTGAAGCCAGGAGGACGGATGAAAGGGGAGGGGGCAAAGTTTCCCCATAGAGGAGTATGAGTATTTTTACTAAGAAGACTCTCATTAAAGATGACGCCACAAAAACAACCAAAAGTTAAATTAGTTTTTTTTAAATAATGCATTTCTTTGACAGCACTGCACCAACAATTAAAATGTAACAGCCCAATATAACATTAATATGTTTTAGAAAAAATTAAAGTGAAGGACAATATACATTATTAGGTATTGCTTCCTAGTAATGAATTGGACCTACCTTTGTCTTCACAACTGCTTTAAATCTTTACGGTGCAGATTCCACACAGTGCTGGAAATATTCCTGAGAGTATTTAGTCCACACTGCCATGATAGCATCACAAAATTACCGCACATTTGGTTGCACATCAGTGATGTGAATCTTCCATTCCACCACATCTCGAAGTTGCTCTATAGGATAGAGATGACCCTTTTTTATGACTAGAGATGTTGTTAAACATTTCTAACCAGGAAGTCACGTATACAGAGACACACACACATACACACGCACACACATACACATTCACTCACATGCTCGCAACTTTTACAACACACCATATGGGTTTTACAATGGGGTGTTTCTGTAGCTGTTGTCACTGAATAAAAGGCTGCTAGGGGACGCTGGGCTGAGCTCAGGTGCGGAGCTTGAAGTTCTGGATCCTGACCGGACCGGCTTCTCTTGGAAGTTAAAATGGACTAAGCTCTGAGTGTCTTGCTTCATTCATGGGGATAAGTCTCTGAGTCAGCGAGGCCTGCAAGTGCAGACCGAACAGGGGGACACTCCCACAGGGCTTAAATCTGGGGCTCTCCACCATTTGACCCTAAAACTAAAGAAGCTTCTTGGATTAGAGGTAAAACGTCTTCAAGCAACTTAAAGAAGTCCAGACACTTTTCGTTCCAAGCTCCTTGGACTACGATGTCCTGGATGACTGAGAACCTTCACTGACTCAAAAATCGACATCGATGTGCCTTATGTATGAATTCTGGTTGTGCTTACTGACCTTGCTACAAAGTCGCACAACTTGGTGGATTGTTGGAGCATTACGGCTACCGTAGTCAGGAGCCTCGCAGAGTAATCTGGGTCCAAAACTCTGCCTTCTTCAGGTCCCAAAGTCAAACGAGCACTGCAGCTCCACTGAGAGTTAAAAACTGTCTAAATTATTTCATCTTTAATATCATGATCAGCATTGTTGCTTAACCAGGTGTAACAATTAAGTTTAACATCCAGGTGTCCATGAAAACAGAATTTATTAAATTAACGGAGCTAGAAGTTAGCAGAAAGTTAGCTTGCTAGTTTCCACCCAAACATAATATAGCATGTTCTGACTGAGAGATTTCTGAAAAAATTCAAATGTACTGCTCTGCTATCACTTCCAACATAAATGAAGAGAGAAAACTAAACAGCAGTGATGTTTGTGGGGTTACTAAGTTGGACTAGCTGGTACTGGTTTTATTTTGTTGTATTTAGCTGCAACACCTTAAAGGCCAGTTCATGAAAGTCTTGTTGGACATAAACCAGTCCGTGGTGCAAAAAAGGTTGTGGACCGCTGCTGTAAATGGACCAAACTTCAGTCAGGAGAACAACTGAGATAATCCATCCACAATACGGGGTTAGTCATTAATATACTACAACAACATGGGAATAGAGCAGCTGTGAGAGAATTCAACATTAATGAATCAATGGTACAGAAATGGAGAAAGCAAGAAGAATGAGTTAAGTAAAGTTTGACTTATCTGACTCTTTTGTTTCGCATAATGCACCTTATAATCCGGTACGCCTTATGTATAAAACAGACCCATTCATTGACAGCACGCCTTATAAGCCGGTGTGCCTTATGGTCTGAAAAATACGGTAAGTGAAATCAACTAATATAATGAATACAATTTAACATACTGTTGCAATCTTCAGCATATCCAGTGCAACATTAATTATCTAATATATTCTTTAATATTGAGCACAAGCAAAAGCTTAATAAAGACATGAGAACAAGTAAAGTAAAATACAAAAATATTTTTTAAGCCAATCTGGTGATATCATGTGTTGATACTTGTATCAGACAAATTAAGAAACACATATTTCCTAATGATTCCAACAGCCCCTCTTGCAGTAAAACAATAATTGCTATTTTGGACTTAATGCCTTACCATTGTCTTCTCTGTGGTTTTAGTTATGACTACAGTTTGACAAGGTGTTTGCTAATACCTAAGTAGGTTTACTGTTTAAACTTGATTGACTAGCTTGATTCATAACGGCAATTAATTTCCTGAAATCCTGTAATCTTTCCATTATGTTCATATTTCAGTCTAAGAAAATGCATTATTCTGATGCAGGTGAATATAAAATAAGTGCAACATATTCACATGATAATTTTAATGATGATATTTAAAAAACAACAACAAGAATAACTTAGTAAAAAGTACCAGTCATAATGAATGACCTTTAATATATTACACCTTTTCACATTTTCACATCATGTTCTCAACAAATAAAGACAAAAAGTATTGTCTCTTAAGCAATAACTATCATATTTCAGTTTAATTTCATAATTTCCTTAGGGATTAAAGTTTTCTGATTGTTTACTATCGCAATTGTTTTTTTTTTCATTTACATACTGAACAAGAAGAGAAGATTTTAATTCACAGCATACCTTTTTAAACATGCTTGAGTCCATACTGTACCGCTCTAATTTCAAACAACCTCTGAATACAGTTTGGCAGTAGATTACTCTGTGCTTTTCTTCATTTTCAGTGCAATATTTGAGCACAAACTTGAACAATTTCAGGGTGTGTTGTTTAATTACTGACTGACAGTTTGGTTCCTAATAATCTGATCCAGTTATAATTCATATGGCATAGTGTTTTGTTTTTTTTTCTTTTTGTTTACCCTGTCTGGGTGCTGACAAGATTATTATGTGGTTTCTGGCTCTAATCATTAGTTACACCTTGGGACATTTCTTAACAAAGGTGCTCTGGTAGCTGTATATAAGAAGAGCTCAACTTTCCGAATATCACTACAACAACTTCCTTCACTCTGAGACTGACTGCTGCAAGCAGTGGACTAGACGTAATTACATGAGTCTTTGTTGTCAAATTTTTCTTTGCCAGGATAGGATTAACTGTGGAATTGTAATTGTTTAATTAACTTATTTGATTTGATTAAATCTTTATTACCATTTTTATTTCAACAGGTACGATCACTGAAACCATGCTGAAGGTAGCATTTGTGCTTGGATGCCTCCTGAGCCTCACTTTGACTCAACCTGTAAGTCTGACATTATCACATATTTTTACGTATTTATTTGCACTTATGCATTCAGATACCATTAATAATACTGTAATACAATAAAATGAAGGCAGTATTGAACTTGATCATTGTCTACAGATGGGTATGGCGCGCAAAAGACTTGTGCGCTCAAGCTCTGAATCTTACTCTGGGTCAGGGGTGAGTGCTTTTCTTATTTTTTTTTTCCATTACAAAATGGCAAATGATTTTTGATGCACAAGTCAGAGTACTGTGATTTGAATTACATTGTGGATTATTGCCTCCTAAATATCTAAGTTTTTAGTTTTACAGATGTAACGTTTCTCTGCATTTGATAATAAATATTTTTATTTGTGGTTTTTCAGGAAGCCAATCAACTGCCACAGTTAAACAATCAACAGCTGCAGCTACTCATACAATTACTACTTGCCAGCCTAGCAACAACCACTACTAGAGCTCCAACCACTACAACAGCTGCACCCACCCCTCGTCCGGCTGTAACTGGTTAAAAACTGGCATTTAACTATTGAATGAAAGTTAGCATGCAGTGCAACTGTCAATTTGTGATATTTTAATGAGAAAACATAGCAGTGTCTACCAAATAAAATTTATGAATAGAAAATGTGTGTTTTTCTGTTTGTAAGAAATGTAAGTCCCTCAGCTAACCATTATATTCCCCTTTCAATAAAGAGTTCACATCACATGTGATGTGAGCAGCTATTTAGGTGTTTACTAATGAACACTGTTGATCTAAAATAGAGTTTAAATTATGGTACATCAACGATATTACATAATAAACTTTCTTAAGTTTTCTAAAATTGGGTAGACTGTGCTTCCCTAATATTTAGAAGCTGCTGCCGAGGTTGGTAGCATTAACTTGAAAGTAATATTCCTGGTGGGTTTTTTTCAGTAGGAACATTCATAGTCAAACAGTTTAGCAACGGCGGGTCAAGGGGCAAGTTAGGACATAAAAGTGATAGCCTGTCAGTATGCCTCGTTATTTAAGACCGTTTATATACTGGAAAGAGTTTAAGATTAAGATTTCAGATTCAGATAACATTTTAAATCACCTACATGTGGAGTGGTGGAAATTTACTCACTCCAAAAGTAGCTACCATCCACATCGAAAGGAGATGGCTAAGGCTACATCCACACTAATGCGTTTTTTTTTTGTTGTTTTTTTTTTTTTTTTGCTTGTCCCGTTTGGCTCTTTTGCCATCAGAATTATTGTCTAAAGGCAAAGAAAGATGCCCAACGGATTTACTTTACCAAATGGACCATCCCAGCCTTGCCGTAATGGTCTATTTCAGACCTTCCCAAAGTGTGGGGCCCGCCCCCTAGGGGGCAAAACGCTTGGACACTGCTAGCACGGGCGCCTACAGAAACGCAAACAGGAGATGAAGCATAGCTGAATATGTTTCCAAACCAACTTCATTCTAAACCAAAGACTAGAAAATATGTTATAGCATATCTTCCCTTTGGCTTCACCTGCACAAGTGCCGAAGTAGGTCTCCCTGCAGAATTGCTTTTCCCTTCGTCGGGAGCACGCACTGGGCTGTTTAAATCACGGACAAACAGGATCCCACATTCGTGATTTTTAGTTCACAAACACTTCTTGTAATGACTAACTACTCCTGACCAGTGTTGGTCAAGTTACTTGAAAAAAGTAATCAGTAACTAATTACTGATTACTTCCCCCAAAAAGTAATCCCGTTACTTTACTGATTACTTATTTTCAAAAGTAATTAATTACTTAGTTACTTAGTTACTTTTTAAAAACACGATTTACAACCTGAATAGGTGATAAAGCGATAGATCTTTCAGCCCAATTCTACTTTTTCTGCATAATCCATCATACAAAATGTAATCAAATGGAAAAGTCTCTTTTTTTTAACTTGTTTTATCAGTTTTAATCTTTTAACTCTATGCATCAAGCAAAAATTTAATTATATGCAACATTCTCTGACTTGAATAAATTAGTTTAACATTTAAACCTATTTTCTACACATTCCAGCACATAAAATAAAATATTTTTTGTGTTTACACTCACTCTTTCAAATAGATGCAAGTAAAACGCAGCAGAAAAAAAATAAAGTCAAAGACTCAGCGGTCTTGTTGCTCTATTTTCACCTGTAAAGCAGGACTAGGGGTAGGCGGAGGTTTACCCTGGTGCAGGTGTGCCGCGGTCAGTTGTGCATTACGTCGTTGCGCACTCGGTGCTTGCTTGGAAGTTTAGGGGTTTTTTTCGCTGTAAAAAGAAGTTTTCTTCCCACGCACGATGGACGCTAATGTTTTTGTCACTTTTTATGGAATCAAACTCAAAGTAAGGTCAGTACTTCCACGCTTTAAATGCTGCACGCTCATACTCTCTCCCACAATCGATATGTGATCCATTGTTGATCTGCACACAGCTGTTGTCACTGTTGTGAGACATTCTCGCAAAGAAATCACGGTTTTAGTAACGCAGTAACGCAGCGTTCCTACGGGAAGTAACGGTAATCTAATTACCGTTTTTGCAATAGTAATCCCTTACTTTACTCGTTACTTGAAAAAAGTAATGAGATTACAGTAACGCGTTACAAGTAACGTGTTACTGCCCATCTCTGCTCCTGACATTTTGGAGATATACATACTATAGGGGAGACCGGGGATAGTTGTAACGTGGGTCAGTTGTAACACTTTCAATTTCTCCAATCAGGGCTAAGTTTCAAATGATGTGACTCATCCTGTGCATGCCCAATTCAGTTCTGCTATCACATGTGAAAAATCAGCACATTTCGTCAAACACAGACAATTTAACACGAAAAAAGTAATTTGTATGCCAAAAAGTAAGTTTTTCTACTTTATTTCAATTTCTAATAGCATTATCTGCTTTGCAGTTAAACTCATCAAACTTAAATTATGTTATTTGTATGTCTATGGGGATATATTCTGTGTAGGTCTTTAGTGCTAATGTTTTAGCCGTTGGCTGTAATGTTAGCTAGTTCATGGCTACAGGAGTCTGGGTCAGTTGTAACAGCAACAGTCTGGGTTAGTTGTAACAATAATGCAGATGTTACAACTTACCACACTATCACTTTAACTTATATTAAACAAGTTGGGGCAACGACATCAGCAGAGAGAGGTTCACTGGTCGCTTTTGTATATGCGGTTAATGCCGTTGGCAACACAATTCCTCCACTGTTTGTGTTCCCACACATACATTATGCAGACCTCTGTGTCAGAGATGGACCAGTAGGAAGTACTGATAGTGGAAATAAGTCAGGATGGGTGCAAGAAACAGATTTCCTCATCTTTCTGAAGCACTTTGCAAACCACACCAAGGTAAACCATGATAAAAAGTAATGGAATTGCGATGCTGGTGAACAACTACATTTTTTCAGCTTCATTGTTATGTTCAAAATTGGTGCAAGAGTTGTAGGTTATAATGCCCACTGAGCCATGAGGCCAAACTCCAGGAAGACCAACCAAAATTTATGAAATATTCAGTTGCAGAAAATTCCATAATTTGTCTTTTTTGGGGGGTTGGAATATGTTCAAAAGTTAGATTTCGGCATTCTGTCACACACACACACAGCTACATAAATGGCTCTAAGTGCATTCATGTGTTGAATAAACAAAGATTACATGTTAATATTTTGTCAGTACCCTTATTTCATTGTGTTACATTTTACCCCAGGATATGTTACAACTAACCCAGACTATGGGGTTAATTGTAACATTTCACTCTTTGTGTTTGAGACCATACCATGCAATGGGTAATTGTGCTGCAGAGAAAATAGCTGCACTATTTAATAGCAGAGACATGTAAATACTTTGCATTACATTTTGAATCCACTACCTTAAAAGAGCTCCAATTTACAGACAGAAATGTCAAAAATGTTACAACTATCCCCGGTCTCCCCTACTATACTTTATACAATAAAGTTACAGTGGGATCCAAATAATATCAGGCTGATCCTGCCACGATTCGTTCCCTCGGTTCAAATCACGGACAAACAGCATCCCACAGCTGTTTATGTTTTTAAACCTATTTTGCACAGAGAGGCATTTTTTGAAAAATGTATTGATAGCAATGTTGAATATTATTATACAGGGAAAAAAAACAACTACACGTAAAATAATCACATCGTGACGCCTCTGCCTTTGTAAATGGAGGGACAGTAACTGCGTGTGCTCGTGCACGCGGGGGGGCGCGATCATTTTTCTTGTAAAACAAAGGGGGGCCCAGCAAAAAATGTTTGGGAACTACTGGTCTATTTGATTCACCTTTTATTGTTTATTTTATTTTCACTTGCTAAATATGGGACAGACTTGACTGGGGAAAAGAAAGGGGAGAAAGAAAGAGGGAAAGAAAAACAGCGGGGAAGAGGGACGGGGATAAAGGGCAAAAAACAAAAACCAACAAAATAAGCAGACAAAAAAATACATATAGCAATCACCTGGATCACCTGTTGAGAAAGAAAAAAGAAAAAAAGCGGAAGAAAAAAAAAGAGCAATATAATAAACAACATCACAATGATATATGGGAATATAACAGTAAATACTAAATATTAAACATTATTGTGCAGCACGTAAAATCGACAGCGCACAGTGTGCTTTGAGGTAGGAGCCAAAAAGGGTGTAGTTTGTGTGTGTGAGCAGTGGCGTGTCCAGCGGGGTGGCCTGGGGGGGCACAGGCCACCCCCCCAACCAGACTGGCCACCCCAGGTGCCACCCCAAAGGCAAAACAATAAAATTCAATCAAATATCAAATGTCCGATTATGTTTTCACGGTGAAGCTGAGATATCCGAGTGTAAGTGAATGCAGCATCGGCTTCTGCGCTACGTGCATCACGTTAGCAAAGGTAGGAGAGCCAAGCACGAAAGACGGCACTGCAGGAAACAATTTTTCGGTGAAAGAAAATGAGGACAGAATAAATGTCCCGGTAAGTAATATTAAGTTTGCTGAGTTTAGTAAACTTCGGTGAAATTAGAATACCAAGGAAAAAATAACACTTAAAGAATTATTGCAGCCATCGAATATTTCAGACAGTATGCTACTGAGGGCAGCTAACATAAGAGTTATGAGTTATAAGATATAATCTAAGTCGTAACATTGCTGTATGGAGCTGCAGATTTGGTTGCAGGTTAACATAGCTGGACTGGCCATCGGGCATACCGGGGATATGCCCGGTGACTTATTTATTTATTTTTTTGTAATGGCATGAACAATAAGAGGTGGTGGATTGGCCAGATGCAGGTCGATGTGTAAAAATAACTCAGTTGTTTGGTGGTGGCTATGGCGGAGCTTCCACAGAGGCCAGCACGTGGATGAGGGAAGGGGAGGCAGGAGGAGAGACCCGAGGCAGCCGCCAGTCCGAGTGTCAGGTGAACTGAACTCCAGGTAAGAAGTTATGACCTGCAGTCTATCTGGGTCAGATATAAACCAAGTTTAGGTGGAGTTTATTTTCGTTGTGCTGACTTTTTACCGTCAGTTACAATAACTCGTACTGCGATCTAGCCAGCTTGACGGAGTTTTTATACAGCTGGGTGGGTGCTATGATGTTACTGATAGTGAACTTTATTTTATTCATAAGGTTA